CCCGCCAGGTCGACTGGCCCCTCGGCCTCATGGGCGGCCACTATGGCCACGGCAGCGACGCCGAACTGGCCGCCGGCGGCAGCCGCGCCTCGGCCGCCAGCCTGCCCAGCACCCTGTCCAGCCGCCCTCACAGCCGCCTGCGGCAGCTGCTGGGCGTGGGCAGCCTGGGGCTGATGTCTCAGTGGTCGTCCACCAGCGCAAGTGGCAGTTGGATAGGCCCGATCCCGTCTATGCAGCCGAACGCGTTTGCGCCGGTCGGCGCGCTGCCGTCGTTCACCGAGGAGGACGAGCGCGCGGACACCAGTGCGCATGGCGGGGATGCGGAGGCGGCGCAGCAGCAGCGGCAGCGGCAGCAGCAGCAGGGCGCGGGGACGGTCGGCGGGGCCGGCAATGAAGATGACGATCTGGACAAGTCGAACAGCCTCAGCAGCGTTGTGCCCATCGTGATCGACCCAAATCCCAGCGGATTGTCGGGCTCCAGCAATCTCGAGAACGCCCTCGGCGCGGGCGGCGGCGCCACGGGCGCCGAGCGTGGCCCCACCACGCGCAACGGCGTCACCGCGGGCACGCCGGGGATGCAGCGCGCCGGCAGCGGCGGCGGCGGCCGGCGGCGGTTCCTGCGGCTGCTGATGCGCCAGAACGAAGGCGCGGCGGCGGCGGAGGGCATGTTCTATGGCTTGCGGGTGCGGATGGGTGTAGCTACCGGGAAGCTGCCGCTGGGCGTGGACGTCTCAAAGAGCGCAGTGCTCGACCTCGCACAGGGTGAGTCATGCCATCGTCGTCGCAGCGGCAAGCCGTGTGCCCTCGGCGGCCCGGCGGCGGCGTCCCGCTGCCTCTGGGCTTGGGAGCCCTGCTTTTGCAAATTGCGAAGCGCGGCTTTCTTGCCTCAGCCTCTGCGCCGCTGCGATTCGTGTGCCCTCGGCTCTGGTTTCCTGTATCCTCAACCTTTCGCCCTCCCAACCTCGATTTGTGCTGTCTCAGTTGTGTCTGACATGGCCAACGGCGGCCAGGTGCTTGTTGATGCTGCGACGTTTGAGCAGATCAAGGATCACCCCGGCTTGGCAGCAGTGGACCACCACGGGTACAACGACAGGCTGCTGGTTGACCGCGCGGGGATGGGCGCCGCTGCGCTGTGCGGCTCCTGCAGGTGTGTGCGCACGCGCATGCATACGTGTGTGCATGTACATGGTTGTGTGTACACGTGCGTGCATGTGTGTGGGTGCGTGTGTGTGTGTGTGTGTGTGTGTGTGTGTGTATGTGTCACATGCATGAGCGTCGGTGTTCATGTGCGTTTGGAGTGTTGTTGATCAAGTAGGTGATGAGTAAAGGGAGTCGCTTAGCGCCGCGCACACCTGCGCCTGCAGCCCCAGCTCACATCGCGACCTGTGCGCTGCGCTGAACACTGTAGTTGTGCGCTGCCGTCGCAGCAGGGCTGCCATCCACCCGCACTCCCAGGACTGCATCCCTGTCTGTTGCGACCGGCGCCTGCCGGCCCTGCCGCCGCGCGCTCGCGCACCCCCTTTTCCATCACCCGTGCAGGTCAAAGTGCTGCGGCGACCACGTTGACGAGCGCGGCGCGGCGGGGCCGGCCGCCACCGAGGGCTCGAGCCTCGTAGTGTTGGACATGGGCGAGTACGAGGTGCCGGGGATCAGCGTTGCCGCCGCGCGCGGTGCCGGCGCGCCGCCGGCCGGCGAGCTTGGCTCAGAGCAGGAGCTCCGCCCAGAGAGCCCCTCCCTCGCACCGCTGCTGCCGCCGGCGCGGCACGTGCCGTCGGCGCCGGGGACGCCGACGGCAGGCGCGGCAGTGGCGGGGCCACGGCGGTCGCTGCAGCTGTCGACGGCTGTGGCCGCGACTGTCCTGAACGGCGCCTCGCCCGCTGCTGTCGGCGCTCCGTATGCGGACGCGGCAGGTGGGGCGACGGTGCCGCCATCAGCCCAGCAGCAGCCCTATAAGCAGCAGCAGCAGCAGCCAGAGCAGGAGCAGAAGCAGGAGCAGCAGCCGCATCACAAGCCTGATCGGTTACGGGTGTACACAGTCCTGCCTGCCTGCTTGGCTGCCCGTGCCAAAGTCTGGGGCAGCTCGCTATCCCTGAAAGAGGGCTGGCGCCAGACGGATCGCGGCTTCTTCGATGCGCCTGGCGCGGTCACAGCTGCGACCCTCACGCCGCGCGACGCGGCGCCGGCCGCGGACGCGATGCCGCGGGTGACCATGGTGTTTGCGTGCGTGGAGGGCGCCAAGTGGCTAGTGCGGTGGCGGCACGCGGGCGAAGTGCGGGAGATGGCACGCCTGCTGCGAATGGTGCTGGTGGCGGCGCTGCGCGCGGTGCCTGGCGGGTACCTGTGCCGCGAGCAGGAGGGCGGCCTGCGCTACATGCTGGCGTTCGGGTCGGCCGAGGCTGCGCTGCAGTGGTGCCTACTGGTGCAGGAGGCGCTCATGTACGCGCCCTGGCCGGCGGCACTGCTGGCGCTGCCCGAGTTTGGCGAGCAGCACACGCCGGACGGCGGCACGCTGCTGTTCCGCGGGCCGCGCGTGAAGATGGGCGTGTGCGAGGGCCGGCCGCGCAGCCTGGTGGCCGACCACGTTGGCCGCGCCGACTACTTTGGCGCGAGCGTCAACCAGGCGGCGCGCTACATGGACGCGGCGGCGCACGGCGGCCAGGTGGCGTGCGAGCTGGATTTCGCGACGGCGGTGTTCAGGTGGGCGCGCCGGGTCGCCGCGTTTTGCGTGTGTCCCCACCTGCAAACCTCAGAGCAGCGGCCGCCTCGACCGGCAGTCTGAGCATGGTTGCGGAGCCCCGCACGCCGGGCCGAGACTGGGCGATTGGGGAGCCGCCGCGGCCGGCAGGTCGCCCATGCTGCGCCCGTGCGTGGCCCCCTCCCCTGGCCCCCCCCCTTCCGCGCACCCCCGGCTTTCCGGCCTGCGCCTAAACCGCGCTCCCTTTCTCATTGCGCAGGGACTGGCGCGTCGGCCTCGAGACGGCGGGCCCCGGCGCCGACGGCGGGACGCTCTCGCGGGAGGGCTCCGGCTCGCTGCCGCCATGGTCGCCGCCCAGCCGGGCGGGCTCTGCGCTGAAGAGCCCCTTCTCTGGGCCGCTGCGCTCCCTGCGGGATGACAGCACCAGCTCTAGCATCGCCCCGGTCTTGGGCTCTGCCACCGCCCCGGCCCCGGCCGCAGACGCCGCGCCGGTCGCCAGCTCCGCCTCAGGCCCAGGCAGCTCTGCAGGCGCCGGCGCGAGCGCGGGCGCAGCTCCCGCCACGGGCGCTGGCCGGACCGCGGGCGCTGCCAATGCGTCGGGTGCTGCTCCGACCGCGGGCGTCGGCCCGGCTTTGGGCACCGGCCCAAGTTTGGTCACCAGCCCCGTTCGCGCGGCACGAAGCCCGAGCGCACCGGCGACCCCGCTGCCGTGGCCCATCCCCGAACGCCGGCGCAGCCAGCCCAACGGGCTGGCAGGCAGCAGCACCGGCGGCAGCGGCGGCGGCGGCAGCCGCGGCGGCACGCTCGGCGGCGGTGCGGGCGTCGGCGACGACGGAAGCAGCAGCAGGCCGGGCAGCAACGGCGGCGGCGGGGGCGGCGGGGCCAGCGGCGCAGGCACGGGCACGGGCACTGGCAGCAGCGGCGGCACCGCACCGTCACTTCACAAGGAGCCTCTCAGCCCACCCATACGCAAGGACACGCCCTTCTCTCAACCCGCGGCCGCGCCGCCGCCGCCGCCCAAAGC